TTGACAAATGATTTCTGGACTCTCCCTTTTGATTCTGTACAACCCTCTCCCTGATTTTGTGGGGTTTTTTCCTTTTAAAAGAGCCTGTAATCGACAAAGGAGGGGTTCTTCTCCTCTACAGCCGGAGGGACCTCTGCCGCCACAGCAGAATAAAAATTCCTCTTGCTATTGCATCAACCGTGCCGAGAGTGTCTCCTCCTTGGTGGGGCTTTAGGGCCCAACAGACACTAAATCCTAGACTCAGGGAAACTACATCCTGTGTCTGAGGGCAAAGAACTGTACCAGGGTCATGTGGTTGAAAAATGAATAGAGACAATAAAGGAAAATCTCCCCAGCGGATAATGGACTACAGGGCTAGGGAGAAGTTCCCAGAAAGCATCTGGCCACCTGATGGATAGCCTGCCTTTTACTTTGGCATGTCGCGGGCTTTTTGTTTGTTTTGTTTTGTTTTGTTTGTATTGGCGTCCATGTCTGTTCCCAGATGCTATGATAAAGGATGTCTAGCCTTCCTCTGCGATCTGTCTTCTTTCATATGTTAATCTAGATGGTTCCATCCTATTCAGCTCCTGACACACGATCTTCCAATTCGGCTATTCAATGTATTGTTTTCCAACAGGATTTCTTATTCCCGTATCGCTCTACCGTTTGTCTTCAGTAGGATTTACTCTCAACCGTTTACTTTCACTCTGAGTTTTGCTTTCTGGGTACTAAACTGTACTGCCTTGGGAACCTTGGGAACCTTGGGAACCTGAGGGTAGTGTATGGATCTCTGTTCTTTTCTCTTTCACTGGACCGAAACCGGAAGTGGAAAATACAGACCTTTTCAACGGTTTGATATTGAATTGGAAGCGAGCTTTAACTTCTAGAATTTTAAAGTAAAATAAATTCTTCTTTTTTAAAAAAAATCTAATCTAAAACGTTTAGAAGGAAATGAATTTGATGTAGAGTTAAGAAGCATAAACGCTCGAAAGGTTGTTACAAAATTCGGGTTTAACCAATGGGAGAGTAAATCGGCCTCTGTAACAGCTAACCAATCAGATAGGGTGAGAGTAAGTCTTAATTTGCATAAAACTCCCTACAAATATACAAACAACGTGTTCTCAGGCTTCACTTTCTTTTTCTTTGCATAGAAAGAGATCTCAAGATGCCTGAGCCCGCTAAATCCGCGCCCGCCCCGAAGAAGGGCTCCAAGAAAGCCGTGACCAAGGCGCAGAAGAAGGACGGCAAGAAGCGCAAGCGCAGCCGCAAGGAGAGCTACTCGGTGTACGTGTACAAGGTGCTGAAACAGGTCCACCCCGACACCGGCATCTCTTCCAAGGCCATGGGCATCATGAACTCGTTCGTCAACGACATCTTCGAGCGCATCGCGGGCGAGGCGTCGCGCCTGGCGCACTACAACAAGCGCTCGACTATCACGTCCCGGGAGATCCAGACGGCCGTGCGCCTGCTGCTGCCCGGGGAGCTGGCCAAGCACGCCGTGTCCGAGGGCACCAAGGCCGTCACCAAGTACACCAGCTCCAAGTGAGCGCGCCTATCTCACTCTTAACCCTTAAATAGGCATTCCTGCATTTCTATGGATCAGTTTGGCCTCTGCACTCTGAAGCTACTCATGACTGCTTCCTGCATTTATAGAGAGTATTGGAACAATGAGTTTAGAACGACCGTTCTCAGCACCTTGTGCTATGTGAACGTTAGGTTAGTGTCTTCCGGAGAGGAAGGGACCGCGGAGCGACCCGACCGAACGCCCATATTTCCAAACTTTTAGGTATTGAAATTAACACTGTCACTGGAAGGCAGAGTGAAAAACCGTGGGTTTACCACCTGGTTTAGCTAAACTACATGAATCCACTTTTCTCCTAATGTTCAAAACAAGCTTGTTAGTTCGGTGCCTGTTAAGCGGCTCTTGGTGACGCTCAGGTCGCCATTTTCCGTGGCGCCGCCCTGGTTAGAGACAGCTCGCCGAAAGCGAAAGTGCCCGAAGCACCTGCGCCCGCTTTTATCACTTCTAAATCGTTCGGCGCCCCCACCGCCTCCGAAGAACAGGCCTGGAGCTTTTGCATTTTAAGCTTTTACATATGAATTGGGTTGTGGGAGAAGCGCAACAACAACATATCCATTTAAAAAAGAAAAAACTGGTTTGTTTACTTTTCCAATTACAGAAAATGGTGGAAAGGCTTTGTAAAACTAAGGAAAATCGAGTTCGCAGATCTGAAAGCATTTCATTTTCTTCTTTTTCCTAACTGCTAAGTGTCTTTTAAACAGCAAGAAAATTTTTAAACCCTTTCCTGACTTGTTTTGGAAATGAGATCTGGGGAAAAAAAAAAATCCTAGCATTCGTAATGTGGCCAAGATCTGGAGTCAACAGATTATAAATTTAGCAATTTTGGATCTATATGTCCTAGCAGGGAGGGACCCTGACCCAATGTGAGGGAAAAAATATAAAGTAGGATATCAGGGTGCTGGGAATGGAACTAAATCCCTGTTCTAGTGAGCTACAGTCATGTCTCCTTTCTCAGGCCGGACAAGTACCTTTATCCGACCTCCCTAGGAATTTTTTAAAAGTGAGTAAATACAAGCCAGGCGGTAGGCCTTTAATCCCAGCCCTCGGGAGGCAGAGGCAGGCGGATATCTGAGTTCCAGACCAGCCTGGTCTACAAGACCAGCCAGGACAGACTACAAAGCTACAGAGAAACCTTGTCTCGAAAAAAAAAAAAAAAAGGAAAAAAAAAAAGAGTTATTTTAAAGTACCAAAATTGCAACTGTAGCAACTGTAATCCAGGAGGCCGCTGTGCGTGTAAAGTCATTTGTCACCATGCCTGAAGACCCGTGTTCTGTGCACTAGACCCACAGGGCACTCCGGTTAAAAAAAAAAAACCCAGAATCCTACATGACAAGCAGGGCACGCAGATAAACGTTTGGGTTGTTTTTTTTTTTTTTTTTTTTTTTTTAAAAAATTGCAGTGATTGTGACTTTAGAAACAAGGCTGAAACTTCCTGGTGAATTATTTGCTTAAATGTCCATGTTAATATCTTGTTTGTTTAACTTTCTTTTCTTTGTAACGAGATCTCAGTCTTGTAGCCCTGCTACCCTGGAGCGGCTAGGAAGCACAAACTAATCACAAACTCTCAGCAATTCTCCAACTCACCGTTTCTAAACGCGGATTTATGGGTGGAGGCCACCACACCTGGTAGTGTTTGTTTGTTCCTGTTTGGCTTTTTTGTTTCTTTTTTGTTATGTTTGTTTTTGAGATATAGACTGAAACTCACAGACCAAGCTGTCCCGGGTCCTCCTGTCGCCTCTGCCTGCTGAGTCCTGGGATTAGAGTGTACCTCCGTACCTGTTCTGTTCAGATTTAAAGCATTCCTGACTGAACCTGTCAAGAGCCTTCTTCAGTCCCTCACTGACCTTAAACCAGAATCGCCGGGGAGTAGTGCTCTGCACATAGACCCCACCAATCATTACGTGGAATGTCAGAAGATTCTTCGCAGGATGTTGTTGTTTAGGTTTGGTTTTGTTTTTTTTTTAATCTTTTCCTACTCTTTGAAATCCCCGTGACTCCCTTCAGTCTCTGAACTTTGCAGATTTTCTCTAGGCCTAACTGGGCTACTTAGCAATAAATAAGAGAACATAATAAAAATAAATAAATAAATAAGAGAACATAACAAAAAGTCTTGACTGCAGGGCAGTGAGCACCTACCGAAAGACACACTGAGGACGCCAATACCCAAGATTCCTGTTATCTTCAGGGTCTGGGACTTTTTTTCAAAAGTTCCCAAAAGGAAGTGTTGGCAGGACAGCTGAATAAATCTAGTGAGCCTGATCATCTGAGTTTCATCCCTGGAATCACTGTAAAGGTGATAAATACACACACACACACACACACACACACACACACACACAATAAAAGAATTAAGTACTGAGGGGACACTGATGTTCTCTCTCTGGTGATATTTTGGAAACATCTGATTTGCGGATGAAAGTTAATCAAGTCCTGAACCATGTATACTGTTACTTGAGGGGCAGATGTAAGATTTATATGTCAAACTTTACATATTTTAAAGACTAAGAAATTAGGAAAGATTCTAAACAGGGAACTAACAAGGTTCAGTTCTTCAAGTTTCCAAGACTGAAATGATTAGAGGATTTGGTTTAGTTTTTGAACCAATTAGCATCTATACCTCACTGGCCCTGAACAGAGAATGGCCTTGACTTTTGACTAGTCTCCACCTCCTGGATGCTAACAGCACAGAATAAGCCACCAGGCCTGCTTCCATAGAGCACTGGAGATGGAATACTAAGCCAAGCTAACACTATGCCTTGAGCTCCATTGCCACGGCCCACCACACTCTTCCCCGGTATTCGTGCGCTCCCGGGAAACTATAAAATAAAATATACTCATACATGTAAAACAAATACATACACAGGACTATTACGGAGGAAGGATGGCATCCTATGCAAGAGAATAGAATCTCTGGCCTAGGTGGAAATCTAACAACTCCTGGGACCAAACTTAGGTAGTTTCACCTCAAACCATGCTAGAGACACATGGGATATTTTTTCCTATACTGAGATGCTTTACTCTTCATTCCCAAACTTCACATCCTAGCACAATCCCTTCGAGGTGGGCAGCCACTTCCTCAAACTCAAATTTTTACCTTTTAAAGTCTTCTGAAACTTTGGATCGGTGAGTCCATCGTGCATGCCTGTTGACTGAGATCAGATCACCCTGGAACTGGAGTTAGAGGTCTTTGAAAGACACCGTGTGGCTGCTGAGAACAAAACCTGAGTCCTCAAGGTTACTACACGGCTATCTCCCAGCTTTTACTAGCTAAATTGTTGGCTCAAAATGTTGGTCCTACAAAAGCAAAACACAAAACGAAAAAAAAACTTGGATTTTTAAAGCAAACAGAACGCTTGAAATTGATTACGCCCTTTTAAGTGAAAAGGTGGGTGGCCCTGAAAAGGGCCTTTTGTGAGGAATAGGCTAGATAGGCGATTGTTTAACCTCCGAAGCCGTAGAGGGTGCGGCCCTGGCGCTTGAGCGCGTAGACCACGTCCATGGCGGTGACGGTCTTGCGCTTGGCGTGCTCAGTGTAGGTGACCGCGTCGCGAATCACGTTCTCCAGGAACACCTTCAGCACCCCGCGGGTCTCCTCGTAGATGAGGCCGGAGATGCGCTTGACTCCGCCACGGCGGGCCAGGCGGCGGATGGCGGGCTTGGTGATGCCCTGGATGTTGTCGCGCAGGACCTTGCGATGGCGTTTGGCGCCACCTTTGCCCAGACCCTTCCCGCCTTTGCCACGACCAGACATTGTGAAGCTCAAGCTGTAAGCTTAGAGCACAATGACCGCAACCAGCCCGCTTCTTAGCTTTTATAATACGAAGGCGGACCTGTTTGAAAACCTCAAGAGGAGGGGCGGAAACCACTGTCAGTTACGGCCCTTCTGTGCGTTTGTCCAATGAAAGGCTGGAGGCGGGACCTGAGCCAAGAGTTAAAATTTAACACATTGTATTACGTAGGTCTATACAATTCGTTCAGCCTTCAGTAGGGATAACCACATGTATTAGCAACAAATAAGTTTGGCATTTGTTGCTCATTGCACTAAATAGGAAGTAATACATTATTAGTCCTCCATGTCACCGTGGTTCTCAACCGGTGGGTTGCCACCCCGATCGTGTATGACATATTTACATCGGATCTTAACATCGTTACCGTTATGAAAAAACAGCAAAAATAATTCTACGGTTAAGGGTTCATCATAACATGGGGAACTGCATTAAAGGGTCTCGGTATTAAAAAAGTTGAGAACCACTGTGTCTACGTTTTAAGTACACTTTTAAGAACACATGTATTGTTTCATGTTCGAAGACTTTGTACTGACTTAGGTATGCCTAGGAATCTGAGCAATGTTCTTTAGCATGCAGACTGACCGAGGGGAAGTAAAAGCTCAGATCGTTACAGAACTAACTAGCAGTCTAAAAGATTAAAAGATGTATACTGGATATTCAATCCCACGGGTGTGAATCTTCTACTTGATTTACACACAGAAATTAGGGGATCTGGAAATGAGGATCGTGGGGCAGTTTTCTCTATTCTTTATTTCGCCTTCATTGACTCAGAATTTCCTGTATGTATGTTTTAATCAACAAACATTGCATGCTTGTTGAGATGAAAATCATGTTACTAATAATGATTTATTGGAAATGTGTAAGAGTCTGCGAATGAATGATTCTACTATTTTTGTCCTTCAATTATTCTTACAGGATTTTTTGAACAGAAATAGTAAAACTAGGTTTCAGACCTCCTAGGAGTAGACTTGAAACATTATACAGATTAAATCAAGTGTATATCTTTAATAATGCAGAGATGTCTGTAAGGACATGGGGTGAATAACTTTTGTGTATAAATAGATACTCCTTAATCAGCTCTGAAGTTCAAGATAGACAGGAGAGTGCCAGAGACCCTGCCCTTACTGCCCCAGGAGACTGAGTCTCTGTCCATTCTTCCACTCTGCTTGGTGAGGTTTGAAAGATTGTTATCCTCCAGGCCAGGCTAGCCTCCAGTTTACTATAGCGGAGGCTGGCCTCAAATGCCTGATCCTCCTGTATGTACCTGCTGAGTTCTGAGATTACTGTCATGTGCTGCCATGCTGGGCCCTCTTGCATGTTATCCTAATTTTATACTCACTTTTATTGATCTTATGAGTATATGGATCTCTTCATTTCTGATCTTTGATAAGTGATGCTCTTTCTTCTGTATGAGGACAGAACTGTTTAAATCTACCAAACATAGAGAGACTACAGGAAATGTCATATCATTTCTTTTTTTGTTTTGTTTTTAAATGTACCAGGTGCGGTGGCACATGCCTTTTGTTGTTTGGTTTTATTTTTTAAGATTTGTTTACGCCTGGTCTACAAGAGCTAGTTCCAGGACAGGCTCCAAAACTACAGAGAAACCCTGTCTCAAAAAAACAAAAAAAAAAAAAGATCATTACACCAGATCTCATTACAGAAAGGTGTGAGCCATCATGTGGTTGCTGGGAATTGAACTCAGGACCTCCAGAAGAGTAGTCAGTGCTCTTAACCTCCGCACCATCTCTCCAACCCCCTTTCCTTTTCTTATAAACAGGATTATCATACCTAGGAACAATGAAGAATGGATTGTTTACATAGGTCAACACAAGGGTGTTTCCCAAAGGATTCCACAATTTTGTATCCAGGAGGAAAGAGTTGAGCAGATACACACATTTGTGGCAAAAGCAGAAACAGTTTATTAAGATAAGTATACATACATGGAAGAAGCAGACCAGAGCAAAAAAACAAAACCGGTGCAGTCACTCAAAAGGCCTGCTATACAAAGAGCGGGTGTGGAACTCATCCATAGCTCTGGGGTCATCTGCAGACGTGGCTTTTCTCACTGTGCTGTTACAGTTTCCAGCTTCCTACATTGCGTGTCTCATTAGTATCCCAAATCAAGGCCGTAGTGTGTTTTTAGGGACCCTTAACACTCTATAAAGTGCCCCTTCTCCTTCAAGAGTGACAGATGTGGTGAGGACTGAAAGATATTTTCCAAACATCCTCAGTGCCAACTTGAGGTTTGTTGTTTGGGTTTCATTTATTCGTATGCTAATTTCTCAGCTTTGGGCCAAGGTCATCTCAACATCTCTCTCTCTCTCTCTCTCTACCATATCTCTAGTCCCAGAACAACTACAGTTCCTAGAAAACCTAAATAATGACAGGTGGATTCAGTGAAAATTCACCAGATGTGACAGATTGCATCTGGTGACAAAAGAAAGTCAACAAAAAGCCATTAAAATGATTGTTCTTGTCCAATAGAATTTTCATAACAAAAGAAGTAAGGGGTATCTGTTATTATAATGATTTGTGGAATTAATGAAAAAGCTTGCTTTTTAAAATACAAAGCATGACCTATTCCTCCTTCCAACTTTGATGGAGGAGGGGGTGCCTGGACTCAGTGCAGCTAAATTGACCATGGCTGACTGATATCTATGGGATGCCTGCCTGTATCTAAATAGAAACAGTGGAGGAGGAATGGATGCAGCGCAGGAGGAGCTGTGGGACTGGGAAGAGGGGAGGGAAGGCTAAGTTTGGCTTTAGAAAGGAAGGGGGGAAAACACAAATAATCATTCAATAGAGAAAAAAATACAAAGCTCATAGAAAACCCAAATAGCTGTTTGGGGTCTGAAAATCCTAAAACACGCTTTTGACTGGAGAGCCCACAATTAAAAGCACAAGCAGAATTTTTTTAAAACAATAAGTGTCCTCTTGGTTCTGTGGAAGCCTCATGACCTTGATAAAGGCTCTATTAGTTTGCTTTCTATTGTTATGATAAAACAAAGGCCCAAACCAATTTGTGGAGGAAAGGGGTTATTTGACTTACAAATCCCCAGCACAGTCCATTATTGAGAGACATCAGAGCAGGAATTTTGAGACAGAAACAGAATCAGAGATCATGGAGGAACGCTGCTTCTTGGCTTGCTCAGCCTAAGCCCATGATTGTTTGGCCCGGGCATAGAAGCACCTAGCTGCGCTGTCCCACATCAATTATTAATCAAGAAAATGTCCTACAGACTTGCATGCAAGCCATTCTGATGGCTTTTAATTTTTATTTGTTTAGTTGTTGTTGATACTGTTGTTGTTTTGTTTGTTGTTCTGTTAGCATGCTGGCCCAAAACTCATAGAGATCCGCCGGCCTCTGCCTCCTGAGTTTGATGAAGGTATTTCTTTGGATGAGCTTCCTTCTCTCCACAAGTGACCTTTGTTTGGGTAAGGCTGAACAAAAATATCCAAAGAACTGTTTGATTTAACACTTGAGAAATAGAACATGAGGCTTTCAATATCAAAACTGCATCAATCCAGAATAAAAGCCAGTGTTCTTCCTTAGAATTTTCACTCCTTTGAATTCTCTATTGTTTTTATTTTTAATTATGCATAATTATGTGTCTGTCATTGCTAATGTGCACGAGAGTACAGGTGCCACAGGGTCCCCCAGGAGTGGGAACGAAAGGCAACTGGAGATGAACTGACGGGAAAGCAAACCAGAGTCCTCTGCCAGAGCAGAGTGCAGTCTAACAAAGCCATCTCTCTCTCTACCCTTTCTTTGGAGACAAGATAAATACCCCAGACAAGGGCTAGAATTCATTTTGCATCCCAAGTTGGTCTCCAACTTTAAATTTCCCTGCCTCACAGGAGTGGCCAGAATGCGTCTCTTTGCTAACACTATTGTCATTAGCCCGAATTATAACCCTTTTCAGAATTGTAACACTGTTCTAGGAAGGACTGCAGAGTCATAATGCAAGGATCTGGGCGCCTATCTGAAAGCGGGGGGCGGGGGGGGCCTAATTCTTGATGTGCGCACTTCGGACTGCCAGCTCATGCTTCCCTCCAGGGAATATTTCAAGAAATGTGGCCGCTTTTAGCCACGGCGGAAAGGAACCAGAGCTAGAATACAGAATTGGGACGGGTGCGTAAATTTGGAGTATATGGGATTAACAACCAAGGAGTCCTGACGACTTTGCTCCAAAGTCTATACTAAACTTAAAACTAAACTTAAAAGACCAAGAAACTGAAGCACAAAGGAGTAAAAACAACGCCAAATGTTAAAAAATATGCAAAGTATAAGAGATTGAGAGGTCCAAAAATCTAACCCTTTAGAGGCCTTAGTAATGTCCAATCATATGTTACCAGCTGATAATGGAGGTACGCTCTTTTACAGAAAATGTTGGTGGCTCTGAAAAGAGCCGTTGGGTTCAGCCGGTGGGATCGGCTTTTCATTCACTGGCCTTTAGGCCCTCTCCCCGCGGATGCGGCGGGCCAGCTGGATGTCCTTGGGCATGATGGTGAC